CGCCACCATTTCCGGGGTACTGTAATTTTTCGTAAACGAGTATAACAATGTGAATTATTTGTTTTCGAAAACTCGAAATTCGCGTCGCGTTGCCGAATCGCGTCTGGTCCGTGTGGGCCTTAAGTTCGCTTGCATAAATTCAATCAAATTTTAGCTTAGAAACAGACTTTATTATTATTAACCACAAATTCTTCAAAACAGTTTATTCGTTTAACCGCCGCCCGCGAATAAGCGCAGCAGTTGGGTACGACATTACAATCTTAAACAAGCTTAGAAACTATCAAAATATCGAAGATTTTATGTTTTGTTTTTTGCCAAACTTTCTTTGCTAACGTACGGTATATAAATACAAAAGCGCTAGGTCAAAGATATAAGTACATGGTAAAAATTGAAAGTACGGAATTGGTTTCAAAATGTAATACAATACAGGATACAGCCCCACTGTCCAGCATCTTAACGCTCAATAGAGCGTCTTGTTAATGTATTCACTACGTTACTAGTTTGGTTAGAGATTCATTATGAAAGAAGCTCTTACCAGGCGCTTAGATGATGGTTAATTAGCTTTAATTGATATCACAAAGCGACGAATTCCAACAAATATACCAACAATTCCTGTTCTGATAATATTAAGCTATATCACTAAGCAGTAGTGTAGGAATTCACCAACTTCACCACAGCAACCACAGTACTTTATACTCAAAAATAAACTTCAGCCGGCAAAGTCACCAAATTCTGAACAGTTGTAAGACGAATGAAAGAGAGTGCCTTGTGTTGGTTTTTTTGGCAATAATATACAAGCTTTGAAGCGAGACCAATTTCTGAAGGAAGCTCAGGAAGATAGTGAGAATTCCGATCACGTGCATGTGACATGCACGACATCCATTGCCGGTCAGTATATGAAGGTGAACTACAGGCAAACCGAATTTAAGTCATCTGAAACCTAAAAAATATTACAAAATGTTGTTAAAATTCGACAATAAACGCCAAGAAAATCAGGAAAGCTTATCTAATCATTCGGTTGTATCGTTTTGAGCTATTATATATTCAAAATACAAGGCATTTACATTCCATCTCGGCTATATACTGTATAGTCGAGCTACCCGAGCAAAGTATTTATATGCCAAGATCGCCAAGTTTTGGCTTTTAACAATTGAAAACTTACATTAAATATATTAATCGTTTCAATTATCCAAGAAGCAAATTCGCTTTGAAGCGACACGCGAATTTCTATAGAAAGCTCAGTGGAAAATTTTTTGATACAAAAGAGACCTCCCATCAAGCCCATCAAATCAAAAACAATTCAAATATGCTCAGCTTCTTGGAGTTAAAGAATGTGCTTCACTAACCATATTTTCGCTTTCAATTTTTTCCAGCTAGTGCAGTGTCTAAACTATATCAGCAACCACACGAACCCAAATAGCCCTATTCACATTAGAGACGGACAAGTCGTCTAGACGAACAAATCGTCTCTCAAAAATCGTCTTCACAGACGGACAAGTAGTCGAACAAATTCAGACGACTTGTTCTTTTAAAATTTTGTCCGACACGTTTTCACATCTGATGATTTGTTTGACTAAAAGACGATTTTGAGACGATTTGTTCGTCTAGACGACTTGTTCGTCTTCTAATGTGAAAACGGCTAATCATACGCGTATGAAAACCGTATTTTGGATTGTAAACCACGTGACTGGCGCTATACAGTCTAGCTGGTGGTGAATCTAAAAAATGCCAAACTATTGCGTAGGTGTTTAACGTAAAAAAACATCTCAGGTATATCTCAAAAGTATGACTTTATCCACACATTAATGATCTCTTCCTTAAACTTCGTGTATTTTCATTTCATGGAGGTCAGAATTACAAGAGAGCAAAGGGTTTTGTATAGAGATTTTCTGGCGCCTTCTAATAACGCCGTTTTTCCACAATGCGGAATTTTGTGCGCGGAGCGGAATTTCTCTTTGTCTTCTCCAATTAGGTCCACCCGAGAAATCACAAGACAAAGAAAAATTCCGCTCCGCGCGCAAAGTTTCGCCTAGTGGAAAACCGGCTTAAGGAAATCGCCAAAGAATCGTGTCCAAACTTACAACAGTAAACTTGAGATATATGGAGAGATCGAGTCGTATCAGGTTTTGAATCACGTAATGAGTTTGTTTTCCAAATTTACCAGATCAACATTTTTATTTTTAGGCTTAAGTAGCTGATTTTACTGATCTTTCAAAGTTGGCGACGTTCCAGTGTATAGATAGCAATTGTTTGTTTAATCACACATTTCTTTTTGCTTGGTTCTTAAAAGAAATTCATGAAGAATTAGCCTTTCTCACGCCGCCATTTCTGGGGTACTGTAATATTTCGTAAACGATTATAACAATGTGAAAAGCAATATATCATGCAGAACAAACTATATTTACAAAGTAAATTTACCATCATACATCCATAAAATTATGTCGCCGTTACGTGGTGTTACGCCCGCAGGATTGACAAAAATGTAGCCCAAAAATGGCGGCGTGAGAAAGGCTAATTGTTTGTTTTTCGCAAGGTTTCACTATAACTGCCTATCAAGAGCGAATAAATCACTTTCTTATTTGGGTATTGTTGTTCTACTTCTTCGAACGAACTATTAGTACTGTAATAATATATTTATGGCGACAGCTCGAAAGACTTGAAGCGTGCCGATTGTTTGCCTTGAAATATAGACAGCGATGGTTAAAACTATTCATTTACAGAGTAGAAGGCACGATCCAAGGAATCAATACTATAATAAGTTCGCATGCATAATTCAATCAAATTTTAGCGTAGAAACAGACGATATTATTAATAACCACAAGTGCTTCAAAACAGTTTACTCCTTTAAGCGCCGCCCGCGAATAAGCGCAGCACTTAAATATTATGTTTTACTTTTTGCCAAACTTTCTTTGCTAACGTATATAAATAGAAAAGCGCTAGCTCAAAGATATAAGTACATGGTAAAAATTGAAAGTACGGAATTGGTTTCAAAATGTATTACAATACAGGATACAGCCCCACTTCCCAGGATCTTAACGCTCAATAGAGCGTCTTGTTGATGTATCCAGTATGTTACTAGTTTGGTTAGAGATTTATTATGAAAGAAACTCTTACCAGGCGCCTAGATGACGGTTAATTGATATCACAAAGAGACGAATTCCAGCAAATATACGAACAATTCCTGTTCTAATAATAAACTACACATATCACCAAGCATGCAGTAGTGTACGTAGGTTCACCAACTTCACCACAGCAACCACAGTACTTTATACTCAAACATAAACTTCATTAACGTCAACAAAGTGTGAACAGTTATAAGACGAATGAAAGTGCGTTGTGTTTTTTTGGCAATGATTTGCAAGCTTTGAAGCGAGACCAATTTCTGAAGGAAGCTAAGTGAGATAGTGGGAATTCCGATCACGTGCATGTGACAAGCATGACGTCCATTGCGTTTATTTACACTATAGTCAGCATATGAAGGTGAACTACACAGCAAGCCGAATTCAAGTCGTTTGAAACGATAAAAATATTACAAAATGTTGTTAAAATTTGAGAATAAGCGCCAAGAAAATCAGGAAAGCTTATTTAGTCATTCGGTCGAATTGAGCTATTATATATTAAAATTCAAGGCATTTGCATTCCATCGCGGCCATATAGTCGAGCAACCCGAGCAAAGTATTTATATGCCAAGATCGCCAAGTTTTGTCTTTTAACAGTTGAAAACTTACATTAAATTAAATTTTTTAATCGTTTCGTAACTATCAAAGAAGAAAATTCGCTTTGAAGCGGGACGTGAATTTCTATAGAAAGCTCAGTGGAATAAATTTTGATACCAAAGAGACCCCCCATCAAATCAAAAACAATTCAAATATGCTCAGATTCTTAGAGAAAAAGAATTTGATTCTCTAACCATGTTTTCTCTTTCAATTTTTTCCAGTTAGTGTGTCTAAACTATATCAGCAACCACATAACCCAATCATACACGTATGAAAACCGTATTTTGGATTGTAAACCGCGTGACTGGCGCTATATGTATAGCTGCTGGTGAATCTAAAAAATGCCAAACTATTACGTAGGTGTTTAACGTATGATGTGGTTTTTTTACATCTCAGTTATCAGTTATGTCTCAAAAGTATGATTTTATCGACACATTAATGATAACTTCATTACACTTCGTGTATTTTCATTTCATGGAGGTCAGAATTACAAGAGGACAAGGGGTTTTGTATAGAAAATTTCCGGCGCCTTCTAATAAAGAATTCGCCAACGAATCGTGACCAAACTTATAACAGTAAATTTTAGATATATGGAGAGATCAAGTATAGTATCAGGTTTTGCATCACATAATGAGTTCGTTTTCCAAATTTACCAGGTCAAAACTTTTATTGAACTGTAGGCTTAGCTGATTTTACTGATCTATCAAAGTTGGCGACGTTCCAGTATATAGACAGAAATTGTTTGTTTAGTCACACATTTCTTTTTGCTGAGTTCTCAAAAGAAATTCATGAAGAATTAGCCTTTCTCACGCCGCCATTTTTGGGGCACTGTAATTTTTCGTAAACGATTATAACAATGTGAAAAGCAATATATCATGCAGAACAAACTATATTGACAAAGTAAATTTACCATCATACATCCATAAAATTATGTCGCTGTTACGTGGTGTTACGCCCGCAGAATTGGCAAAAAGTAGCCCAAAAATGGCGGCGTGAGAAAGGCTAATTGTTTGTTTTTGCAAAGTTTCACTAGGACTGCCTATCAAGAGCGAATAAATCACTTTTGTATTTGGGTATGGTTGTTGTACTTCTTCGAACTATTAATACTGTAATAATATATTTATGGCGACAGCTTGACAGACTTGAAACGTACCGATTATTTGCCTTGAAATATAGAGAGCGATGGTTAAAACTATTCGTTTACAGAGTAAAAGTCGCGATCTAAGGAATCAATACTAATATAATAAGTTCGCGTGCATAATTCAATCAAATTTTAGCGTAGAAACAGAC